AGAGAGAGAGAGAGGAGTGTTATTGTGAATGTGAGAAACTTGATTATATGCTTGTGCAATTAACAGTAATTTCATTTTATGAATTTCAGCCAAAGCCTTTGAAGGCTTTGGATGGGCAGGTGTGCGAGATCTGCGGTGATGAAATCGGAGTTACAGCTGAAGGGGAGCTCTTTGTTGCATGCAATGAGTGTGGGTTCCCTGTGTGCCGCCCTTGTTATGAGTATGAGAGAAGAGAGGGCACTCAGCTTTGCCCTCAGTGCAAAACCAGATACAAGAGACTAAAAGGTTAGTGATATTCATGAAATTTCATCTCTATGGTTGCATATAAGAGATGTTACTGGTTTTATTTATTTATTCATTTTTTGCTCATGCCATGCATCTTGGTCTCGAGATGATCAATTTAAAGATATTTGGGCATCAAAACAACCTCTTCGAGTGAAATTTTTTAGATTGGCTCTAATTTGATTGTTTAGAGCCTCTGCTCTATACAAACTTTTTTGTTAAGAAAAAGTAAAAAAAAAAGGTTTACAACGTCTTAAAAATGTAAAATTAAGGTGCACCTTAAAAAATATTGAAAAAGGCTGTTTTGATGTTGGAAAATTATAATTATCTCGACATTGAGATATATGAATGAAATAAAAAAAAAATTATAATTCTTAAAAATAGTACATCTTTAAAGAAGGGCTATTAGGATTAGAAGTTCAATGACTCCCTTTTACTATAGAATGGCAGAAGCAGATCAAGCTAAGAATGGTTTTCTGATGAGGTGGTTGTGACGTATATAGGAAGTCCAAGGGTTGAAGGGGATGAAGATGAAGAGGACATTGATGATATTGAGCATGAATTTAGCCTGGAAGATGAACAAAGCAAGAGGCAACACCTTGCAGAAGCCATGCTTCATGGCAAGATGAGCTATGGCCGAGGAGTCGATGAAGAAGCTTCACAGACTAGCCATCACCACCCTGAAATCCCACACCCCATCACCGCGAGATCACGCCCGGTGAATTTCTAATGCTTATTTCATCGAAACTCTAAGATAAATTTAGCTTAAAGAAGATATAGTATATGTTAGAAAATACGCAGAGAAAGGTATCCAACGACTGAATCGAGTCCGAATCGAGAACCGATGGTGGAGATGTATATGGTAGAGCATCTGTCTCTCTCTCATTTTTGTTTCTTTATTTTTGCATAAATTACAGGTAAGTGGAGAGTTTCCATTACCTCACCATGCAGACCAGGGTTCATCCTTGCACAAACGAGTTCATCCATATCCCGTCTCTGAACCTGGTATTTTTTTTTCTGTATTATTTGAAAATTTTCTTCATTTATTTACTTCTTCTGTCTTAATCGCATTATATGAATTTTACGTTCTCTCTCTGGTGTGGGGCAGGAGGGAGTGCAAGATTTGATGGTTGGGATGCGAATAGGGAAGGAGGAGGAGAGTGGAGAGATCGGATGGATGATTGGAAATCAAAGCAGGGGCTTCTCGGACCTGATCCGAACGATCTCGATCCAGACATGCCCATGTACACCACCTACACCACTCTATAATCTAGAGAGAGAGAGAGAGAGAGCCGAAGTGCCATAGAACTTAAAAAGTTGGAGAGCTTCAAAGTTCTCTTGACCTTACCAAACATAACCAAATCAACCTTTTGAGCTATCTCACCCAGTGTTCAACTCCAGCGAGTCCACTTAGATTTGCACGAGTAACTCGGGCTCGCCTCGCCAGATGGTGAGCCTGAGTATCCCTGATAAAATTATAAAAAAACATAGTTATTTATACTTTTTTTATCCGTTCTATCATTTTGGCAAAATTTGAAAAATATTTTGGCGAATACTTATATTTACATTTTTTTCTATCCTTTTTAGATTATTTTGGAAAATACCCCCAGTCAAAAATTAAAATTTTAAAATCTATATTTTTAACTACTTTTTTAATCTCATTTAGATTTGTTTTGTTTAATATTATTTTAAATATATTTTTCCTTTCTTTTTGGATTTTTATTTTTATTTTTAAATTTTGCCCGATTAGGGCTGGTTAAGTAGACCAGTTCCAGGTTATCCCAACGGGCCATGGCTGGTTTCCGTGGCCGGTTCATGCAATGGAATATTGATCTCACCTATTGGCCAACTGATTTCACTATAGGACACGGTTTTCATGCAGCCAGCCCGTATATTGTAGAAATACAGGCTCGGCAATAAATATATTTTTTAAATATAATTTGATCCTAATTTTTAGAGAATATATAAAATTTAACATAGTGACTATGAATATAAAAAAAAAAAATTAAACTGAATATAATAATTATATCAAGAAAAAATTTGGATCGTGAGTTACAATGGTTTTTAGATGGACCAACTATTTACATCCATCTTTAATATGGATGCTTTGTACCTTTGGACCGCATATTATAGATATGTAGCGCATATTGTAGATATGCAGTCCAGGCTGCATGAAACAATTTTCCTTTACCTAAATGAACAAAACACTCTTATCGATATAGGAATAACGAAAATACCCTTCTCCATGGCAACGCAATAAATGGAAGGAGCCGTGATGCACTTCTTCATGATTTTCTATAGTTTACTCAATTTTGTCGAAGCACCTAATGACCAAAATGCCCTTGTTCATATTTTCATTCCATTTTTCTTGAAGCACAAACTGACCAAATCTGCCATGTTGTATGCCTACACAGTGTGGATGAGGCTAGACAGCCTCTTTCAAGGAAGGTGCCGATTGCATCGAGCAAGGTCAACCCCTACAGGATGGTGATCGTGGCTCGACTCTTCATTCTCGCCATCTTTCTTCGCTACCGGATCCTCAACCCGGTGCACGACGCCATTGGTCTGTGGCTAACATCAGTTACATGTGAGATCTGGTTTGCCTTCTCGTGGATTCTCGATCAATTCCCCAAGTGGTTTCCCATAGATCGTGAGACGTATCTCGATCGCCTTTCTCTAAGGTACATTTGGATGTATAGCTCTGATCAAAAGCCTTACTGCCTGTCAAGGTTATATGGAGAGTTCATCTAAAACTCACTTAAACAAGAGGCTCAAGTCCCCATGCAAAATAAATTTGAAACATTATATGGTTTTGTATATATTTCACAAATAAGACCTTGCATTTCCTATTGAAAATTTCCTTGTTTTATAATTCATGCATGTGCAACAGTACTGGTTAAATACTCGGCACAAGGATTCTAAGGGAGGGGTACTGTCTCCAACTTTTCTCAACAAAATGCATAGTCATATACTATCGTGTATATATATATATATATATATATATGAACAAGACAAAATATTTTTGAAAATGCATACAATATGATCATTTAGCTTTTATACAAGCATGTCACAATCATTATTAGTCGTTGGATGTGAAATTGGGTGGTTGAGATTATGACATTGATTGAGCACAATATCCAAAAAATAAAATTTTTTGAATGTTGTGACACATTTCAATCCATTATATTCACATTCAATGGTTAAAAATGAATGTGACCTCCTTGTATTAAATATAAATAGTCTCATAGTATATAATCCCGTTAGTTTTTTTGAAGGGTAAATAATAAGACTAATTATTAGATAAGGAGATCCACTTTTCCTTTACTACTTGCTTCCCATTAAGCCTCAAGCTTGTCTAAATTATAAACCCCTCAGCCAACATTGACCTCTTCATGAAAACGAAGAATAAAGCTTTGGTCTTATACTGGTATTCATTTACTGTTTTTAAGAACGTACAATTATTGAATACTATCACTTGCAGATACGAGAGGGAGGGTGAGCCTTCGATGCTTTCGCCTGTGGACATATTTGTGAGCACAGTGGATCCACTGAAGGAGCCTCCCTTGGTTACTGCCAACACTGTGCTCTCCATCTTGGCTGTTGATTATCCGGTCGATAAGATATCTTGCTACGTGTCTGATGATGGAGCATCAATGCTTACCTTTGAGGCCCTATCAGAAACAGCTGAGTTTGCAAGGAAATGGGTTCCCTTCTGTAAGAAGTTTGCGATTGAGCCTAGAGCACCAGAGATGTATTTCTCATTGAAGATTGACTACCTCAAAGATAAGGTGCAGCCGACTTTTGTCAAGGAACGTAGAGCAATGAAGGTAACAAAAAGCTCTGGTGCAGTGAACCAGTAAAAGAACGGATTTTATACTATAGGACCGTTCACCTTTGCGACAAGAAGGTCACAATCTAGTCGGAAAATGTGAAATTATATAGCTAGGAGGGTTTCAGAAAGTCGGATAGAAATTTTCTTGAACTTTAAGCAACATTAATAGTACCCGTAACCATCCCATTTATATCTAGCAGCTAATAATGATTGTGGTCTTTTACTAAAAATTGTGATCTTGTGCTAAAAGTAAATGATTGTGATCTTGTACTAAAAATTGTGATCTTGTACTAAAAGTAAATGAGTGTATTGCATTTATTCCTGAAAGAAGATATCGTAATTTCAAAACCCTTAGTCCACTGACCAACCCACAATTAGATCAAGATATTATTTGTCAGAAATTATTAGTATTTTGAGTATCTCAGGACAATTGATAAAGTTGGATTTCATTTTTCTGTTGAAAGGACTTTTGATACATGCAGCTTTTATCTTGAAAGGAATTTCAGCTGTCAGCCGACATTGGTGCTCTTAGTTTTTATTTTTTGTAGGCAATGTTTTATTGCAATGTGTATTTTTCTTAATCCAAGAATAATAAAAATGATATCTATTTCTTCATTACTTTTGACTCAAAATTCGAATGAATTAAAAAATTCACATGTGAATCTAGTCAAGGACATTATGGTATGTGTTTCAGCTTTAGAAAATAAAGAGAAAACAATTTGCCGCATTTGTGTTGTTACTATCATATATACATATTGCACTATTGTGCAAGTACACTTTCCACATTATATGAAATTTATTAATGAGGACATTTCAATGTTTTGGCGTTTCAGAGAGAATATGAAGAATTCAAGGTCCGAATCAATGCAATGGTTGCGAAGGCCGTGAAAGTTCCTCCGGAGGGATGGATAATGCAAGATGGAACTCCATGGCCCGGCAACAACACTCGTGATCATCCGGGGATGATCCAAGTGTTTTTGGGTCACAGTGGAGGCCTTGATGCAGAAGGAAATGAGCTTCCACGTCTCGTTTACGTGTCACGTGAGAAGAGGCCTGGTTTTCACCACCACAAGAAGGCTGGAGCCATGAATGCTTTGGTATACATGAAAAACCGCATTTACCTTTGTGTTGATCAAGAAGTGATCACTGCTTCTCTAATTTCAAATCTAAAAAACCCATTCTTGTAGTATTTTGGCAGTTTTTCCAAAAGATTTATTACCCAAGTTATTCAAAAGTTTTCTATCATGAAAGACAAACCTTTGCATTTTCAACAATGAGAAATTGTGATCTTTTCTTTATGTGATTATGAGGCGTATGCTATAAGAACTACAAATAGAAAGCTAAAAGAGAGAAACCATAAGTTCTCTATCATTGATCTGTTTTTCTGTCTGTTTTATATGTTATAATGTCCTCACAATGGTCTGCATAGCCATGTCATTTCACTATTGAAACTTTCAATTCCATCATTCTTTTATTTGCATTTTTCTTTATATCTACATTTTTAAGTCCCACCTAGAATGCTTAAAGAGATTCATCACATTGCCATTCGAAATGATTGGTTCATGAATGTTCTTGCAGGTGCGAGTGTCTGCAGTCCTCACCAATGCTCCTTTCATGCTTAACTTGGATTGTGACCATTACATAAACAACAGTAAGGCTGTTCGAGAGGCAATGTGCTTCTTGATGGATGCACAAACCGGAAGAAAAGTATGCTATGTCCAATTTCCCCAGAGATTCGATGGCATTGATACACACGATCGTTATGCCAATCGAAACACCGTGTTTTTTGATGTAAGTGTTGCCGTGTTTTAAATACAAAACATGCATGCCAATAATTTTGTTAGTTTCGGTCTTTGATATAATTAATTATCACCCCTCTTCTTATCTGGTTGGTTTGGTTTTTCTCGTGTTATGTAGATCAACATGAAGGGTCTAGATGGGATTCAAGGTCCAGTATATGTAGGTACAGGGTGTGTTTTTAGAAGGCAGGCTCTCTATGGATATGAACCACCCAAGGGTCCCAAACGCCCAAAAATGGTGAGTTGTGGCTGTTTGCCTTGTTGCGGTGGCCGAAAGAAGGCAAGAAAGAACTCCAGAAATGGAAACGGCAAATCAGGATCAACAGTCGATGGAGGTGAGGGAGGCCTTGGAGTTACTAAACACCAGTTTCTTTCCCTATTAAGACTTTGTTTATGTGAAACCAAAAAAAATTCTTACAATGTGTAAATGAGCTTTCCCCAACATGAGCCCTTAGAAGTAGGAACAAAAAGCTTTCACAAGTCACATTAGAAGTAAATAGAGAACATATATAACATCCAACTACTATAAGTATTTTAAACTGAAATCTTGTGTTTGTCAAATTTTTAGAGGACGACAAGGCATTATTGATGTCACAGATGAATTTTGAGAAGAGGTTTGGACAATCAGCAGTTTTTGTTGCATCTACACTCATGGAGGAAGGAGGTGTGCCCCCATCTTCAAGCCCTGCCGCTCTGCTCAAAGAGGCCATTCATGTCATTAGTTGTGGCTATGAAGACAAGACTGAATGGGGAACTGAGGTAATATGGTTTCAGGAATACCATCTTCTCTCTATCTCTCTCTCTCAAAAATCTCACTCTAAAAAACATGGTCATTTGCAGCTTGGATGGATATACGGTTCTATCACAGAGGACATCTTAACAGGTTTCAAAATGCACTGTCGAGGTTGGCGCTCCATATATTGCATGCCAAAGAGGGCAGCATTCAAGGGCTCAGCCCCCATTAACCTCTCTGATCGGCTCAACCAAGTCCTTCGATGGGCCCTTGGCTCGGTTGAGATCTTCTTTAGTCGGCATAGCCCTGTTTGGTATGGTTACAATGGTGGTCACCTGAAGTGGCTTGAGAGATTTGCATATGTAAACACCACTATTTACCCGTTCACCTCTCTTCCTCTATTGGCCTATTGCACATTACCAGCCATTTGCTTGCTCAGTGGAAAGTTCATCATGCCAACTGTAAGTCCTTTGCTCTATAACACAATTTCTGTTTCCATTTGGGGACTTTTCCTAATGAAGCACCATGATTATTGCAGATTAGCACATTTGCGAGCCTCTTCTTCATCTCTCTTTTCCTCTCCATCTTTGTGACCGGCATTCTTGAGCTCCGATGGAGTGGTGTAAGTATTGAAGAGTGGTGGCGCAATGAACAATTTTGGGTGATTGGTGGAGTGTCAGCCCACCTCTTTGCAGTGGTGCAAGGCCTCCTCAAGGTCCTTGCAGGTATCGATACCAACTTCACCGTTACCTCGAAAGCCACTGATGATGAAGAGTTTGGAGAACTTTATGCATTCAAGTGGACAACTCTTCTCATCCCACCAACCACTCTCCTCATCATAAATCTTGTTGGCGTTGTAGCTGGGGTCTCTGATGCCATCAACAATGGCTACCAGTCATGGGGACCATTGTTTGGAAAATTGTTTTTTGCGTTTTGGGTGATCGTGCATTTATACCCGTTCTTGAAAGGTCTGATGGGTCGTCAGAACCGGACACCGACCATTGTTGTTATTTGGTCCGTTTTGTTGGCTTCGATCTTCTCATTACTCTGGGTTCGTATTGATCCATTTGTGATTAAGACCAAGGGACCGACTACGAAGCAGTGTGGGATCAATTGTTAAGCGCTCTATTCTTCATGATTGTTACAGTCTCTATAGTTTGTTTCGACATATTTGTCAATTGAGTGAAGAAGTTACACACATCAGCAAAGTGGAGTTGTAGAAAGAACAAGCATTAGCAAAGCGGTAATTTTGGTTTGTCGATAATCTGCTCTTTGCGGTTTTAAAGATGCGTGTGAAGCATCGGATTAAAAATCTGTAAAGAGAATTTAAAGTTTGAGCATTGTATTTGACGATGGAATCGAATAAACTGCAGAAAAGGGCAAACGATTTTTGGTTATAGCTCAAAGATGTTGAAGTCTTAAAGAAGTTTGGATGTGATTTTTGTTTATATTTCAGAGACGTTGAAATTTTAGAGAAGTTTATCAAGAATTTATGAAGACATTAAAGAAGGTGTAAAGAGAAATCCAAGTTTGAGTTTCATATTTGAAAAAGAAGTAGAACATTGCTTCGATACAAATTAACCTAAAAAAAAAAGGAATCAAATATAACATAATAAAACAAGGGCATGTAATAAAATAAGGGCACATACATAGGAACGGGTTAAGGCTAGGTGGTCAGGATAGTGAGTTGCCACAACATGATGAGTTTCATTATGGGCGCGTAGTTTATATTTACTACATTAGTCAAAACACTAAAGAGATTTTTCAATTTGAAATCTTGAGAACCATCTAAGAATCACTAGATAATTATTCTCAAAAGAAAACATTTGAAATTTGAGTTTTTTAACCCTTAGATCTTACCATCTAAAAATTGAACGGTCTCTATTTAATGCCGAGTCATTAATTTCTTCAAGTGCGTAGAGGGTGCAATTAAGAAATTTTTTTTATTGAGGATAAAGAGGTTAGATCTCCAAAATTGGACGTATGTACTAGGGAGTAAACGGACAGTGTACTCCCTAGAGAGTGTAATGCATTTTGGTTTTAAAGAGAAACTATAGTATGCCACCCAAACAATACATTGGACCCGTGTTTTTAGACCCAAATCGGTTGGGCACACCGTTCACCCATAGATTCGCGTTGGATTGTTGGATCAGCAACCCGAATCAAGTCTAGATCCGTTTGAATTGGTGATCCAAAATTTATTAAAAAATAGATAAAATAAAAAACTTTAAATAGGGATTTATATTGTTGGGATTTAAGAGGCAAAAAAAAAAAACAAATAAGCTTTAAAAATAAAGAGAAAAATATAAATGTGGGGTTTTATAGGGAACCGGGCTAAGACCCAAACCATCCTAGAACAGGTTTGGTCATGAACAATTCCCATCTAAATTAACATTCAAGATCAGAAATCACTGAATTTTTAAACACTGAATAGTATACCTGAGGGTTCGAGGGTTCGGACCCTCGAAGTTTTCTCTCTAAATATTCAAAGATGGGGAACACTGCCAGGTTCGATTTCCATAACATAAAAGAGAAAGGTCGTGACCTAGTATTCCCTATCACCAACCATCGATGATTGGACGGTGTTGGAGTCGGTGGGTTCCACTCCTAAAATTTTGATTTATGAACTGTACTGTCCTGCTTTCTCTCCATCATCATCCTAACTGAACGGTGATAAATTCGTTGGCCATAGTTTTCATTTTTTGACTAAGATCACACTATATTTTTCCTATGGGTGAGGTTCTATAAGGTGCTCAGACAATGTTAAAAAATAAACAAAAAAAAAAGAAAAAAAGGTGCTTATCGTTTACTATATACGTACCTCTAAATTTTCACGAAAGATGGAGTTTTGGTATAGGAAAACAAGCAACACTCGAGCCTTAGCTACCAGTCTAGGTTTCCATTCTCATGCATTCAAAAACTGCTAATTATTTCTAAAAACAGGTAGGCGCATGTATTCCCAATTGATCTACCAAAAAAAACTTACAATAGCTTGAAAATCCATGCTCACTCCTAATTATGAAATTTAACATTTCAAAAATAGTATTGTTAGAGCAAATCCATAAATACTTGGAAAATCTGAAATATAAATGATCTAAATAGTTTATTATAAAATATACCACTTTTAGGACTTGAAACTAGTTTTTTTCATTATGGATAAATCTTGAGGTTGAGATGATTAATTGGAGGATTTTTCATCTTCAAAACACTCCTTTCTACTAGATTTCTACTGGATTATGAGGTGCATCTTATTTCCAAAGTTTAAGGTTGCAACCATATATGAGCCTTTTCCATTTCTTCCCGATAATTGTTATGATTGTGCCAGCCATGATCACAAGGGTTCGTGGAAATATAGAAACCTACACTTGATGTTGTCCTTTATTTATTTATTCTTTTATCGGTAGGTCGTTTTTTTTCTCAACCCATCTCTTACTTTTGATCCTCCTGATGATTCCCTTGCTTTGACATAAAATAATAATAATGTTTGGTTTGACATAACCGACCGACCACATTGTTGTCTTTTCAAAGGGGAGGACCATACTGTTTACCCATCTCCACTCTGAATTCGATGACAGAGAAGATCCCTTCTTCCTCGATAATCATCTATGGAGCCTTCAACCGCTCTGTTTAGCTGCTCACTCGCTTTAGCCCCTCAGTTATGTCCCTTCAGCCACTCACTTCTAATAAGAAGCGTTGTCTTTGTAAAACCACAGATGGAATCCGCTCTGAAAAATATTGACCCTCATAAACATTTGAAAAACTTTGCTTCAGAATCGACTCTATGTTTTGTTTTTTTGCCTGAGTCATGTTTTGACTCTCTGATTTGTTTTAAAACTTACTGTTCTCAACTCCGAATCCAAGGTCCAGTTGTGCTTGTTGATCTGCCACTGATTTTTCAAGTGCTTACTGTTTGATGGTCGAATTTCTCAATCCTAGTTGATGATCAAGTTCTCCGTTATTTGATCATGTTTAATGATTGTATTTTTTATTACTTAATTATATTGGATGATAGAGTTTTCATTACTCCATCATGTGTGATGATCGAGTTTAATCGATCATGTCTGTTATAGATGCCTATGTTTAATGATTGAGTTTTTCATTACTCAATCATATTAAATGATGGAGTTTTCCATTACTCCACCCTATGTGATGATCAAGTTTACTCGATCCTGTACGTAGTGGATGCTTGTTAATTTGCTGTTAAGCGATATTGATGATCTCAAGCTTCTTCTGTTAATTTGCAGTTATTCAAACTTCTTCTGCTCCTGCTTTGTTGAGGGGGAGTGTAAAAATATAAAAACCTGCATTTATTTTTTTAAATAATATTTTGTTTTATTTTATATGTACCCATATTAAAAATATTGTTCATTACATATATTAGTTTCTTTAATAATACACAACTTTGTAACCCTCAAAATTGATGATCATGTTCACATATTCTAGAAGCTCAATAATACATCGTCCATGAAGCTTAAGGGCCAATTATACATAAATATAGTTTTCAACAGAGCTATCACCGCATAGACAATGATGGAAGAGAGTGGGATTCATAAGAGGATGATTTGGAGAAACTTGCGTATATCTTCTAACTTTTCTGCTATTTAAAATTAACTACATTTTTTATCATTACATTGATACCTTTCTTTTCACAGTATTTTTGAAAGGACCGGACTGCCTATAGTTCGAATGTTCAAGATCCAAAATTTAATATTTTATAAGTTATAGTTAAAATAAAACTTTGATTCTTGAAAATCTAAAATTTAAAAATTAAAATTTATAAAATTTGAGATATGAAATTAAGAGACTTCAAAATTTATAAAATTAAAAAAAATTGGTTAAAAAAGAAGCAATCTAAAGCCTTTCCCTTTTTCTTAATTTTGCTTGAACATAACGCTTATCCTCTCCCTTCTTCTGACTCTCTCCTCAAAATCTCGACTTTCCTTGAATACGAAAACAAAAAAAAAATTGCTTATTTGCATTTTTTGTACTTTATGTTAGGAGGAAGTAGGCTCAATTTTGTAAAGAATGATGAGCTGTAAAGAATGATGAGCCTGCTTAATTTCGATCTTCAAGGTTCGAATATCAAATTAAAATTTTAAAATTTTTAAAATTTTTAAAATTTTAGAACAATTAAATTTTGGAAAAAGTTTATATAAGGATGCAACAACTATAGATGCACCTAAAAAATCCATCGGAAAAGATAGTTTTAATGTTGAAAAACCCTTTGATTGATCATCTCGACATCGAGATGTATGACCATGAAAAATAAAAAGATTTTAAGTCTCATAAATAGTGCATTTTACAACATATTATCTACACCGTCCATTTTCAAGATTTTCATATGTTTATAGATCTACTTGATTTTAACCATTTTTAAAATTTAAAATTTTATAATTAGATATAAAAATAGATTTTGAGATAATCCTAAAAATATTTTACATCCAAATTATACACCATGGTAAAATTTGAAGGTGCACCTTACCTCTACAGCTACGATGCCCACTGCACCCTTAAATTTTAGATATTGGAGATCTGAAATTTTATAAATTTTGACTTACTAAATTTCGGATCTTCAAGATCCGAAATTTCATTCTAACTCTAATTCATAGAATGTTAAGTTTTACGTCTTGAGGATCCAAAGTACATGCAATTTGGTCATTTCCGGAAATTATGGAACAAATTGGTATGAACTTAATAGTAATTCAGGATTTTAAATAAAAGAAAAGTTAGACTGCCAAAAGCCAAGAACCATGTCCATGCATCTTCACTTCATCCCAAGAAAAATAGATTTTGAACTCCTAAAATGACACCACTCTAACGTATCTAGGACCCATTAAAATAAATCACCAAAATGAACCACACTTATCTAGGACCCATTAAAATGAATCATCAAAATTCAATATTGAGATTGTATTCAAGGTGAAGCACTTTTGGAGCTCAGAAACTTTTTTTTTTTTTTTGGAAAATATCTCTGTACCCCTTATTTTTATTTTTAAGTTTTATATCGCCATAAACCCAATGTTTCAAAATATATCTTGGGCATAGGAATCTTAAGTTTTATGTGGAGAGAGAGAAAGAGATAAAACTTAGGGGAACATCAAGCATAGTTATCAAATCGGCGTTTAAGACTAAGGCGATTTTATGGAAAACATTTAAAATGGCACCTTTTTGAAAAGTTCAGTAAAAAAATGCATTTTTTTCTTCAGAAAAATGTTGAAAACACAATTATAAGAAAAACGAGTTAAGCTTGACCAAAAAAATAGTATCCTTTTTTTTACTTATAAGTTTTTTTTTTTGAAAGATAAAATTTTTTTTTCCTGATTTGTATATTTATTTTCATACTTTCTAAAAAATATATTATTTCCAAAAAAAAATCTAAAATCGATACAGATTTGGCATAAAACCATCCAGATTATCATAAATTAGGGCTCAAGCCATCCAGATTATAATAAATCAGAGCTCAAACCATCCAGATTATTACAAATTAGAATAAACAAGCATGAAAACCATTGAATAAAAAATTCCCAAATTTTGGCTTGACAAAATTCCACCAAAAATTCAATCCAAATTTGGGTTCAAAGAGCCTCCAGAATTCCATATTACACAATCAATACATAAGCTTAAAAAAAAAAAAGCTTTAAAAAAAAAAACCAGATTAGGGGTTTTTTCATATCGCCAAACCTGTGCATGCTGCTGCTTCCTATGTGCATGCAGCTTCTCTCTCTTACTCAATACCCAAATGGGTTTTTTGTATCCTCAAACCCATAGTTCCTCTGTGTGTGCTGCTTCTCTCTCTCAGTCAATCTCCTAACAAGTTCTCTTATTTCCTAAACCCATAGTTCCTCGGTGATGCTCCGTCTGTGCATGCTGCTTCTCTCTCTGTATGTGCTGCTTTTCTCTATGTAAGTGCTGCTTCTCAGGTTCTCCCTCTCTGCGTGCTGCTCCAATTGGGGTTTTATTCTTTCTCTCTGCGTGCTATGAATGTCCAGACCTCCAGATGCTTATTGCACTTGTTTGAACTTTGAAGTAATGGCTCATTAACTCACCATACCGTAGTTATCATATCTCCAGATGCTTACAACTCACCATACTATAGTTATAATATGGTGTATTTATCATCGTGCATTCATATGGTGTATATTTTTGGTACCTACTAAATGATGTATTTCAAAATTTCTATATTTTTGAACTTAACCGATTGTTTTACTTCGATTTGTTGAGCCTGGTCCGATATATTTGTGATATTTTTAATGAAGTATTTTTTTCGATCCATATTTTTTATCTAATTTTTTCATTCGACTTTTTAAAATAAAAACTATTTATTCTCGATTTTATGGTGAACCGAATTATTGATAGTCCTCGATTTGCGAACTATGATATCAAGTGAAGAGAGTGGATAGAGTTTAGAAAAAGGTTATCTTTTTAATATTTGTTTGGGTTAAAAAAAATATGATTAAAATAAGTAAAGTTATTCTAAGGGGTCAGAAAATATAAAACATAAGATTTCTATGTCTCAGTGTATGTTTTGAAACCTTGAACCTATGGAGATATGAAACTTAAAATTAAGGAGTACGACGATATCTTTCTTTTTTTGTTTTAAGATCTTGATATTGAGAGTCAACATGATGAATTTGTATGTCTTTGGTTCTCAATTTCTCAAAATATGAATAACTGATGCAACTACATTTATGTTCTTCACTCAAATTCAAACCATTTTAGATGTAAAATGCTACTGCTGGGTGTAATGTTAATGAACTAAAGCGTCTACAGGATGTGGACGCTTAGATGATGCATCTTTGGATTGGATCTAGTCCTTTGTGAGGCTAAAAATTAATTTTGTTTTTTATTTATTATTTTTGTTTACAAATTGTATAAACATGAAAATTAGGACATGGATGAATCTTTATTAAGCACACTTGATGAAGATAAATAAAAATTTAACCAAAATACTCTTGAAATAAATTATTCAAATAAATAAATTAATCCCCAAGCCGTTGAAACAATAAGAGATATTTTAATTAAAATTTGGATTATTATTTCTTATTTTTTGGATTTGGCTTGGAAGGATGCAACCAAGCCCCAATTTCATGTTTATACATCACGTGGACACTACAATTTTCCTAGTTTTATTCAAAAAGAAGAACAAAAACTTAGGGCTCCTTTAAATCGCCAATTTTCTAAGGATGTGGTTAGCATAAGGCTTAGGTTTCATGTAACAAAGTAAAGCCGCACTTTAAAAGCCCATTGGGAAATGCAGTTTCCGTGTTGAAAATCCAATGACGGCATTCGAAAAGAGAAAAAGAAAGAAAACGAGAGAATTTATTTTCACTCTTGATTATAAAATTTGAAACTCTAATAATGATGTAGATTTGATGGAGATTCTGAACACTTTAAAATCGATAGTCCAGATTTATAAGCTATAATATCTTTTAAGGTTTTAGATTTTTTTTTAATAAATTCATAATGATCAAAGTCTAAATGATCATTTTGACAGTTTTTTAGCCCCCAAAACTACATTTTATACTTTTGAGGTGCATCTTTATTTATTTTTATAAAGTCTAAGATTATAAACATTTTGCATATATTAGCCATGTGACCAAAATTCCTTTTGCAACTGAATATGTGGTTTGCCAGTTTCACATGTATTACAAACATGTCGACTATAGTTTTTTAGAGCATGTTGATACACCAAAGACATGATATTTTCTTTCATTGTGAAAATAATTTAAGGTCACCTAAAACCACACCACCCCATTATCCTAAAGATAACGTTCATTTTTTGCACAAGGTCACGAGCATCCTTGGTTGGTAGATTTGAAATTAGGCAGTTAGGGTGTTGCCACGGACTAAGCCCAAATTTTAAAAGAATTTTTTTTGAGCTTTGCAACATACGGCTACCTTTCAAACAAATTTAACATATGATAGATAGGATTGATTATGACCATCTTTATATCAAAAGTTAGTAGTCTCACATAAGTAATACCATCCAATACATAATATATGAACATATCATATATCAAAAACTAATTTTGGACATTATTAAAAAACTCGGCAGAGTAACTTGGCCCTAATAATTAGCTAAGGCCTGAACAATGTACATATACGAGTTACTGTACAAACGGAATACGACACCCATCAGAGTACTATGAAACTAGGATGACTCGCTTGAATTTCACAACACTCGAAACAAACGCAATGCGACACCCATCAGAGTACGATGAAACTTAGGATGACTCGCCTAAATTTCATAATGCTCGGATGAGTTGCTACAACAATCACCTGACTATGTACACTTGTTAGTTTAAAGGAGGGTGAAAACCATCCACCTTTCTTTCTTCATTTTTACAATATTTGGGCCCTTGGGTGTGCATTCTACGCTCAATTTGAGCCTATAACTAGATTTTTGACTGATCTATAGATTAAATACATTCGATTTGAGAAAAACATATTTGCAGAGCCTATAACTAGATTTTTGACTGATCTGTAGATTAGATACATTCGATTTGAGAAAAACATATTTGCCAGATGTTTTAGATCAAAATTTTAACAAGTTTTTGAGCGATCTTGAAGACTTGGAATTTCAAGTGATGGTTGATCTTCCATGAAATTTGATCCTGAAGCCTATTTTTGTGTTTGTGATCGAAGCATTTTTTCATAAAAAAATTTAAAAAAACAAAAGATTCGAAATTCAGATTACTATTTTGAAATTTTCAAGAGCTTGGATCTCTTATATTCGAAATTTAAAATTGGATTGTGGGTTTTGATTGGGCTGCCTTAGGAAGCTTTGATGAGGATTGGAGGCATCCATTCGCACGAAGATTAGGGGATCAGCATGAGAATTTCGGATGAATTATATATTTTTTAATTTAAATTCAAATGTTTGTAATTGTTATATATTTATCTGTTTTTATCAATGGTTTAAAAAACGGATCGGTGACTCGGATCGGGCTTCCAAAAAACCGATCCGGATCGGCGAATCGGCGATCCAGATCGGGAATCGAGTGAATCGGTCAGAATAAAGCTTAAAAAAAATCCTTATTAAAATTCATTATAAATATTGTTTTTTAGGAATTTAATAAGAAATGAGGGTACTCCATTAAGAATTTTCATGTTTTTGAATGAATATGCGAATATTGATATGTTCTTTCCCTGCATGAACCGCCATTCAGCATTTAATTTACATCACACAAAAGGATAAACATATAATTATCATGGAATAAGTATATCAACATACATGGACTACAATAAAGCATAAAATTAGTAACATATGATCTAAAAATAAAATGATAGACGACTTTATTGTTCTCCTTGGTCACGCTGGTGCTATTGATTGAATTAGTTTAACAATTCATTGATTCGATCTAAAAACAAATCATCGATATTAGCAGGCGTCTGACTATTCCCAAATCCCTGAGTGTTAGTGTTTTGTTGTGTTCCCAATCTAAAATCCCTGAAGATTGTCCATCCTTCATGCTCACCTGCACTGTCGTGCTCATCCCTACATTGTTGCTGTTGGGACTCGATATGTGAATAATATGGGTGGGATAAGGTGGCCTCAGAATCATCATCTCTCTCATTTTCTCTTTGAATAATATGGATTAAAAAAAATAAATAACAAATTTTCAAAAAAATCTATCATAGATTAAAAAAAAAAAATCACAAATTTTCAAAAAATTCTATCATGGATTACAAAAAAAAATTTGATCGTGGATTAAAAAAACAAAATCACAAATTTTCAAAAAATTCTATCATGGATTACAAAAAAAAATTCGATCATGGGTTAAAAAAAAAAAATCACAAATTTTCAAAAAATTAAATCATGGATTACAAAAAACTCGATCATGGATTACATAAAATTCAATCATGGATTACATAAAATTCGATCATGGATTACAAAAAAAAACAAACAAAACAAAAAATTCAATCATGGATTACAAAAAAAG